AGATTCACTGGCCTTCCCCAATTTGAGGTTTGGTGACTTTCATCAAATTGAAAAATTTATGAGCCATTATCGCTTTGAATATTATCTCCTCCTGAAGCTCCAAATATTGTACATTAGATCTTATTACTCCATCATCCATTCCTCAAATTCATATTTTCTATTCTTCTTGTCTTTCTCCTTATCTGGGGTGCATTCTGGACAATTTTTTGAAAACTTCCAATTCACTAATACACCTTCAATTTGTCTCATCTGTTTAATCCATCTATCTTTATTTCAATTTTTTTCATTYTTATCTCATCCTCTCCACCCCCATCATCTGCTGAACTTTTAAATCTTCCAAACCTGTTTTAGCTCATTAATCAAGGTATTTTGTTATGGTCTGTGACAGTGCCAATATGTGAACTATTTAAGGATTAGCTTCTATGTCCTCATTTTCATTCATATTGCCTTATTCCATTGTGTATTTTGGAATTTTTTTTAGCAAGGTTGCTTGTTTTTCCTTATAAGTCTATCTATGGAAATTGCCTTGGAGCCCTTAAAGGAGTTGCACTGGCTTCTGGAAATCACCTGGAGGCTGGCCAACTGTTACCACTTTAAATTTTCCACTTAGAAGTTTCTGGACCAGGAGGGTAGCCTAAATTTTTTGAACTAAAAACCCACAGAGGAACATTTATAGTTAGGAATTCTCAAGGAAGATACTCCATGTATTTTTTTTCTTCCATCTCACTACAAAGTTAAGACAAATAATCTTTGCTATCCCATTCTATCSAGTCTGTTTCTAACCTTTATATTGAGGAGGGTGTCCTTGTTGAGTTTGGCAACAACTCTAAGTAAAAACTGGTTTTAGTAGTTACTTCTTAGGATACCAGCTTTRGCTTTGTTCTGAAAACTGGGTTTCTTACTTTTGTGACCACTCAGCAATGTGTTTAAAGGTATTTTTTACAAATCTATTTACCAAGCATTCTAGTTGCTTCTGCTAAAGGGCTTTTCRGGGTATTGAAATCACCATAGCACCAAAAACAAAAGCCTGAATTAGTTCCAAATACACATACCCCATTTGTCCTGTCCCTGTTTTTGTTGTTTTGGTTTTTGGTGGAGGGAATACTGAAGGTTTAACTCAGGGGTGCTCCACCACTGAGCTAAATCCCTAGCCCTTTCTTTTTTGAGAGAAGGTCTCACTGAATTGCTGAGGCTAGCCTGTAACTTGTGATCCTCCTGCCTTGTGCTCCTAAATTGCTGGGATTACAGGATGCAACACCTTGCTGGGTTCTTCGCCCCTCATTCTGACAAGAGTTGCAAAAAGACCAATGTCATGCCTAAAAAAGGAATTAAGACAAAGAGTGAATAAGAAGCAACTGGGACATGACCAGATACTTCATATTTTTTGTTCTTTTCCTCAGGCACAAATGTCTGTGGCATTCAGACTATTTGTCCACTAGCATTTAGAGATATTGGGGAAAGACAACAAGGTAGAAATCCCTTTATGTCCTTGAGCTTGTCCTTTTTCACAATGAACATGGAGACATATACTCAGGTTTTTAAAAGGGAGGGCTAGGGATATAGCTCAGTTGGTAGAGTGCTTGCGTCACATGCACAAGGCCCTGGGTTTGATCCCTAGCACCACACACACACACAAAAAAAGTGGGGGGCCCAATTGCTTGCAAATCACTTATAACTCTTACAATTATAGCAACAAGCATCATGATCTTGAGGCTCAATTCATTCATGGACAGCTGGCCTTGATCATTTCATTCTATGTGAAARAACAACGTAAGTAGGTTATAATGATGCAGGCAGTTCAAAATTATTATTTTCATTGCTGTTTTATATACTTCCTCTAGCCTTTTCTCTATCCATGTCTGACCCAAATTTCTGGAACAGCTAAAGAACTGGTGCTTTAAGTGACACAGAACAGGAAAGTCAAGGGGTCCAAGTTACATGGAAAAAATTTGCTGCTAGCAATATCTTGTTTCTTAAATTTTTGTGCTTTCTCAAGGTAGATTCTCTCTGGACTAATTAAAATTTCCAGACCTGGCCTCTTTGTCTTTGGACAATGAGACCACTTATTCCCCAGCTGAAGTAACCTTCATAGTGAGAAGTGATGCATCAGTAACGTAAGGAAATTCTGTATTCTAGGGAGCAGCATATCCTGGGCTGGGTTCCCCTCTCAGCAGCCTATACATTACCTACATGACATGATTTGCATGCAATAGGAGTTTCTTCTATCCAGATGCTACATGAGTAGCCTTTCACTACTACCCTCAAATACTATGCAAGCAATTCCTTTGAAATAGATATTATTTCCTCTATGAATTCTCTCAATGTCATTACCATTACACTACAGTATCTATATCCATCATGAAATGTTACTGCCAGGGGTATTGAAGCCAATCATTCTGGGCTCCACTTTGAAGTTTTACAGTGACTAGATCAGAGTCTTAAATTATAGTTAATTCAGGGGTTGGGTTTGTGACTCAGTGGTAGACTTGTCTTACACATGTGAAGCACTGGGTTCAATCCTCAGCACCAYATAAAAATAAATAAATAAACAAAGATTTTGTGTCCATCTACAACTAAAAAAATATATATATTATAGTTAATTCAGGCACAATAGGCTAAGGCAGGGAGATCACAAGTTCAAGGCCAGCCTGGGAAACTTAGCAAGACTCTATCTCAAAATATAAAGGGCTGAGGATGTGGCTTAGTGGTAGAATACCCCTGATAAAACATCACAAAAAAAAAAAAAAAGAAGTTACAGTTAACTGACCACATACATCCAAATAACCTGGGTATCTTACCAAGATTTCAGATTCCCAAGTCCCATCTATTGAATCAATTTCTGAAATGGAACATGGGAATCCGATGTGCTGCTGGGGATCAGACAGAGGGCCTTGTGCATACTAAGGCAAACACTCTTAACACTGAGCTATACCCAGCCCCTGGAATCTGCATTTTCAATAAACAGCCCTCGTGATTCTTATGTACTTGCTCAGGTATAAAAGCTAGGACCAGTTATCTGTAACTCAATGAAAGTACCAAGAACCTTTACAAAATGAGAAAGAATGATAAAAAGACTGGTCTTAAGTTCTTCCCAGGTTAGATGTTTATAGCTCACAGCAAAATATTTTAATTTAGCAAGAAAGAACACATGACCAAGGGAGTTCACCACTTTGAACTGTCAGAAAGTATGCCACAGTAATACTCATTAGAGGTAGCTATCTCACAAACATCTTAAAAAAAACAAACAAACAGAAAGTGTTAACCATAATTGTTAACCACTTCTAGAACAATTCTTAGGCTTTAAAGGATCTGAAAATACGYTGGCAAATCTCAACAAAATCCAAAGGTTCCTAAAGTTGGCTTAAGAGATACCAAGAGGCTTCAGAAGCATTACTATCAAGAAACTTAGAATTTATAGGGCTTTCAGATCATTCTATTAACAACCCATTTTAGATAAGGGCTTTTAAAAAAAATAGATATTCTCTAATCTGAATTTAACCTCTACAATGTTTAGCATAGTATTTACTGAATGAAATAAAACAAATGGACCAATCCCAGARTAAGGTTTGTATTGAGTTCAGTGCTGGTGAATAATAAAGAATGAATCAGGGAAATACGGCTATTGACCAGTAGCCAGGTTTTTCTACATAGATAAAAAAAACTTCTTTGGAAAGCAAATTCTAATAGCATTTTGGCTTCGTGCTTTGCTTTATCCTTCAAGTCAAAATTAGAGTTGTCAGACAACCATCTAGACTTAATAGATACACTACAGTGCTGAGATTTCCTGGTCTCACTAGCCCAACAGTTTTTACACCCAACAAAATGAGACAGGACCATCTCAGGAGCCAGCTATATAATTTTAATCTAAAAATTTGGGCATACAGAAAGCATTTTACATAAATTCTCTTGATATTTTTAAGTTATATGACAGGACATAAAGTCTTCAGAAAAATAAAGTCTCTTCCTATAGATCTTAATCCTTGTCATCTGCATGCAGTTAATTAAAAATCCCTGGTAATCCAACAAGTATCTGCTACCCCAAACAACATTATTTGGTAGGACACCTGACTTTGGGTAGGATGTTATGTTAAACAACTAGCCCAGTCTGCTACATACAGCCTGAGAAGCAAAATAATGGCCCAGTGATCAGTACTTACATACATGCGCCTTTTAAATCTATATTTTCATATTTACTAGGATGGTAGTTGGGGTTGCTAGCTTCTAATCTACTCAAAATGATATGTTCAAGAGGGCCATGTACTGCAGGTGGCTTTATTCAATGTTAGTTTTGTTAAATAACGCKCGAGAATCCCAGTGACCAAGGAAGCTGTTAACTCTTTATACTTCAGCTTCCTAAATCAGCAATATGCTCCCCATGCTCTACTTCAGCCACATTGAATTTTTAAGAATCTTTAAAGGGAAAAAAAAAATTGTTTCACATATAATTAAAAAGAATGTTCTTGGTAAGAGTTGGAACTAAGCTCAAAATAAATTCATCTTGGTATAACCTCCTTCTGGTTGCTCTGTAAAGAAAAAGAACACTGATACTTAAGAAAATAGCCAAGATGAAAAGGAGGGAAGAAATGCAGCTCGAAGTGAAGAAATGACACAGACCTCCCACATACACACTTTAAAAACTTTATTCATATAAAAAATTCATTTGTTTTTAAAAGCATTAACAAGAGAGAAAGAAAAAGGTATGGAGCAGAAGACATTTGCCCCTTAGTAGTTTCGGTGGGAAGGTGGGATTTTTGGTTGTCTGGAATTGAATGTTTAGTGTTTTTATAAATGAAAGAGAAAAAAATATATAGTTAAAAGGTCCCCAAAAGCCCATGGCTATTCTATTACCCACACCCCACCGAGAAAAAAGAGCACCAGGAAGAGCAGAGGAGGACAAGAGAAACCAAGAGTGGAGCCAGGTCTGGATGGGGAAATTCCCCTGTGCAGTGTGCTCTGAGGGTCACAGAGAGCAAAAGGCTCCTTTTTTTTCAGAAAAGGTGGATGAGAGTGGGAAGAAATGGGAGGAAGGTAAATAAGGAATTTTAATGCATAGGGAAAGGGGTTGGTGGGTTGTGCACTTTTCTCCTACCCCATAGCCTCAATATATAAGGGAAGGGGAAGAGAGGGAATAAGAATTCCAGTTGCATTGAACAGAGTTTTTAGATTAAGGAAAGTAGAAAGCAAATAAGGAAAAGGGTTAAAAAAAAAAAAAAAATCAACCCACGTAGCAGCTGATTTCTTTAGTCCAACCTGCTAATATACACTAAAAGTGAGAGGGGCATATTGCAGGGAAGGGAGAAACCTTGTTTTCACTATAATCCCTTCAGAGATTATGGTATATCCTGGACAACTAAGGAGTAAGAGTCACACCACTCACCCCTACCAATCTTACTTTGAGATCCATCAAGATGAGATTTTTACAAAATCCCAATTACATGCTATTGAGCAAAAACCTGCTGTGGCTAAAATCAGAGGCTACGCCAATCCCCAGAATCTTGAGACTCTCTAGGTCACCTCTCCTCTTCTTTCTGCTATTGAGGGCTAATAGTGGGTAAGAAAGCAACAAAATAGAACTTGCAAAATCATGAGAAATGAGACTGCAGAGGCAAAGAAAGGCACATGAAAGGGAGGGAGGAGATTTACCCCAGGCCAAAGGCACAAAGAAGAGGCAAAGCCAGGGGCAATCCCCACCTTATAAGGGTAAAGGGGACAGGAGTTATGTACATCAAGTCCTACAGTTGGCCAACCAATCCAGATAGGAGGCAGRGGAGGACAGGCCTATAGGGTAGGAATAGGAGAAATGGGGTAAGGGTTGGGGGAAGCCAGATTTGAAGCTTCCTGCCAGTTTCAGACTAACCACTTCATGTACATTCCTTCTAGCTCCTCCTAGAGGTTCCTCTTCTTTTCATAAGACATCTTTCTGCTCCTTCTCAATCAGAAAGTCTTCCTTGACATTCTCCTCTTTATACAGCTTCTTGCAAATGGCCAGGACAAGTCAGCAGACTTATCACAGGGTGGGAGAGGAGGTTAAGGACAGCCTCAGTAAGGGGCAGCAGCAGCCCAGGGTTGGCATGAGGCTTACAGAAGAGATGGRGTCAGTAGGTCCTTGATGGCCCCTACCTCAGAGGTGAGGAGAGAAGGATTCTCAATCCCAGTTTTAGAAGGCCTTCACTTAATCGAGGGCCCCTGCCAAGTGGAATGTACCACTGCTGCCAGCCTTCTTTGCTTCATAAATAGCCACTGGAATAAGAGAAGAGCTCGTGCTTCCCATTCTCCAAAAGAAAATTAAAAAGTCCCTTGCCCACCAGGAAAAATAATCTTGATTAAGAATCATCAGTATAGCAGGTTGCTGGACATTGCATATACAGAATGTTAACTTCCAATTCTTCCCATGGCTTCCAGTGAAGATTCCCACTCTCTCCCTCCCTACATACAAGGCCAAGAGTTCCAGGGACAGCTGGCAAAAAGAGCTAATCTGCAGCATTCTCAAGATATGCAAATAACTGAGTCAGGTTTCTTGGGAGAAACAGGAGGGATTGAGGGGGTGGGGTGAGACAATTAAATTTCACTGGAAGAAGTTGAGTTGATGGAATGAAGGCAGCTGCTTTGGGCTACAAGGGCAGGAGGCAGCCTGGCAGTTGGCACAATAGTCCAGCGAAGAGAGGGAAAAATCATCAGTCCATTTCACCACCAAAAAATAAAAGTACATATATTATAAGCCCAGGTGGAGTAGAGATAGTGGTGCTAAATCTTCTGCTGTGGGGAAAAAAAAGAAAAAGATGTTAATAGGGTTGGAAATAAGAAAACCTGAAAAAAGACAATCGAGCAAGTCTGGAAGAAGGAAAGCAGCACATAATGGAGAATCAGATCACCATCTGCACATCCCAGGCTCTTAGGAGGTAATAATCACAAAAGCAGAAGTCCCCAGGCACCACATAGCTGAGACCAGAGTCTCTGCCTGATCACATCAGCAAGATTGGCAAACTGCTGGCACACAGGAACCTCCTTCCTCAAGGACAATCTTGGAGGACATACCATGGTGGGGTAAGACACTTGGTCCCCCTTATCATCCAAAACCAACTCATCCAACTCTTCCTCCAGAGATTCCTGCCCCTCGTCCTGCTGTGAACACATGCAATTTGTTAGTATGAGAGTAAAGACAAAAACCTCATGAAGAGTGTGCCAGACCTAAAGAATATTCCTAAATGTGTAAATTCAAACAAACAAGGTAATAGTAAAAGAAGGACAAAACATTCATAACAGGCAGGTACAGAAAGGGTGATGTGTGAGGACAGATCAGTTAGTATTAGTAGTCATCAGTACCACCTTTACAGACTTTCTTCCCCAAACTCAACCAATGCAGAACAATGGCCCAAGGAATCCCAAGATGASTCAAAACCCTATTTTTTCCTTGAAACTCCTACCCAAAAAAGATGCTAACTTTCTTTGGACTTTTTTTTTTTCTATTACATGAAATATTCAAGCTTCAAAACAGAATTAGCCTTAGACAGACAACAGTAAACAGAGGATTTACCATCAAGGGTGTTCCCTTCAATGGCTCCATATCTCCCAGATCCCCAGATCGATCCAGTGTTCTGTTGTGGTCCCCTCTCTCATTCAGTGTGGAATAGTTGTTATCTAGTGAAAAAAGTACACAGAAATGTGATATTCACCTCTAGATATGCAATATATATCAAATAGGAAAGTGTGATTTAGACAGCCCTATTAGGAAATGTCCTGTGCCAAATGATTCTGAAACGCGTTAAACTCTGATGGTCCTGGACTTAAAAGGAACTTGAATATAATGGGGAAGATAATATATATATGAAATACCCTGAGTATGACAAATGATAATAAGGCTAAACTAAAGAAATCTGTCTAGACAAGAGTACTGAGATTAAGAGGAAAAAGAGTGATATATACTGTAATAGAAAAGACCTGACAGACAAGAGAACAGAGCTTAAGTTAAGTCTTTGAGGATGAAGAGAATTTAGAAAAGCAAATGGGAAGGGCAATCCTGAATTAGGTATGACATCAGCAAAATATGGAAGAAAAAAAAGAATGAAAAGATAGAGCAGCAAAGTAGACCAGGTAGGTTGGAAGAGAGAGTGCATGGAGAGAAGACAGTGACCTCAGAGACTGGAGTCTGACTAAGTCAAGGGATACAAACTTGATTCTGTAGTAACCAGGGAACATATGAAGATTTTCTGAAAACTTCTGAGTAAGTAGAATGTGGAAAAAGTAGATGGATAAAGTTTTACTAAATGCCCTCATATCCTTCCAAATGGAAACAGAAAACAATCAGCCAATGTTTTTATAGGATGATAAATGGTGAGTGTGTAAGAAAACACTACAAAGCTGGACATCTCTCCTCATCCCAGTGAAATACTCCACAACCTTAGGCAGGAATTAACCACCTACCTAGTAATTTTGTGTTTGATCCCATATTGCTCATTTGAATTTCTTCCCGATCAGGTTTCTTATCTACATGGAGTCAGAAAGTTATCCAGGTCAAAAACCAACTCTTCAAAATCTACATATATCATAAATTACTCTCTTGGTCTATCCTTCTTCCTTTCCAACAGACTTTAAATATAAGACACAATTCAATCTAAGCTAGCAGTTTTTTTAAATWACTCAGTCTCAAGGTATCTCTTTTGTAGTCTTAAAAAAAAATTGAGTCCTAAAACATTATGAAGATCCAAAGAATTTTCATTGGTGTGGGTTATATATATGAATATTTATGGTACTGAGAATTTTTTAAATGTCTATTTCATTTTAAAAATGAGATACTACGTGTGTCTTCCCCCCTGCCCCCAAGTACTGGGGACCATACCCAGGGACTAACACATGCTAGGCAAATGCTCTGCCACTGAGCTTTGCCTCKAGTCCTTTTTTATTTTAAAAGGGTATCTCTAAATTACATAAGCTGTCCTTGAAATTGGGAACCTCCTGCTTCAGTCTCCAGAGAGGCTGGGATTATAGAAATGCACTACTATACCCACCTACAAATATTTTTAAAATATTTTAAAATTACTTTTATGTGTATCTCTTCAAAGTTTGGCTTAATAAAAGGGAACTGGATTCTCATATCTTTTTCTACATTCAATCTGTTATGTAGTTACTCTGGTTAAGGTTTATTGAAGAAAATCTAGCCTCACAAAGATAAGAAGTCAAGAAAGGAAGGAAAACTTTAATAGTCTTTTTAGATAACTATGAACATTTTTCCTTGATAGTGTATGAATATTCAGTAAGTAATAGTTTCTTAAAGTAATGTGGAATATGAAATCAAACTAACAATCCCTTTATATTCTATTAAACTAAAATTATTGGCCTGTCATGTACTTGGARTGTATCAATTACCTATGCATGATTTTAAAGCATCATGGAGCCAGTTCCTTGCAAAATACAAGTTCACAGACCTTCATAAATGTTCCAAATATTAATACTATTTATACATCTATATCTCTCTATCTGGATAGACAGACTGACAGGCACATTCCTTAATATCACCAAAGATTTTAGTAGAAAAGTATTGGGAAATTACCAGGCTCACAGAGACCAATTCATGTTTTTCAGAGTTATAATCTTCAAAGTTCAGGTATCAAATACTGTCAGTTAAGTGACAAGCTCMCTGCATTCCATTTTAAAGAAATGTGTGCCAAATACCTATGTCTAATTACAATTTGTTGGCCAATTATTTCAAGTAAAATGGTGTTCCATAAAAAAGTGGCTAGTCCAACTAGTAACTCCAACAACAGTACAACTGCTTTGCCTCAAGACAAATGTCTTTTTTTGTGTTTGCAGGGATTGAATGTCATTCTTTGCAGCMGAAATGCTTTGTATATACACTATTTCATCAGCACAGAATATTTAAAAGATGTGTATTCAAGGGTAGAAACATACCATTATTTTTTATAGCTCCACTAAGTACATTCTTTTGTAAAGATGGCCTTTCCCCCTCAGCCTTTCCTTCTTCTATGAAAGTGGTCACTTTCATAGAAGACATTATGTATATTCAAATAGGAAATCTTGTATTTCCCCTCTTGATCCCTTGCACCACCTGGGTTTCTAACCCAGGGTTGCTCCACACTGAGCTTCATTGCAGCCCTTTTTAATCTTTTTAAGGCAAGGTCTAAGTTGCCAAAGCTGGTCTCAAACTTGGAATGCTCCTGCCTCAGCCTCCCAAGTACCTGAGATCCCAGGCATGTGCCACTAAATCAGCTTTTCCCTCTTGATTCTTTAGTTGAAAAGCCATTAACAACAATATATGACTAAAGCCATGTACTATGGTTTACTACAAAGCAAAATGGTATTTCAATATCACAACCAAAATATCCTAAGGGGTATACTAAGAGCATAAAGATTACTGACATTTTTATTTATTCATTCAGATGGTTCTTTTTTTAAAATGTAAGAATGTGGTAATGGGGTCTACAACTCATTCAGTGTGATATCACTGCCCTAAGCCACCAACAATATGCACCACTGCTTCTATTCCATCAAAGCAAATGTTCAACAGCCTCCAGACTTTCAGAGAACAATTCAAGAACCACTCATGGAGGCTAAAGCCAAGAGTCATTAAGATAATAAGGGTAAAACAAAATATATAATTCATCTCTTCAGAAGAACGTGTTTGTTCACATGGCAAAAGGTTTTAAAAAGTTATAACCCAAAATAATAGTTGCTATCTCTGGGTAGTAGAAATAACTGATTTTCTATTATTTTTCTGGACATCTGTATTTTATAACTTTTCAACAGTAAACATGCATTACTTGACATTATATAGAAATTTAAAGGGAAATAAAATAAAAACCTAGGGTTCATTTTCCAGTGATTTTAAGTTCACAAGCAAATAGAAGAAATCACACTCAGGCAAATTTCATTTCTAAATTTCATTTCTAAATTCATTTCTAAATTTCATTTCTAAATTTCATTTCTAAAGCTCAGATCTGCCAGCTTGTGCTTTAGCAATTCTGGAGCAAAGCATTATCCCCCTCCCACAAAAGACTAACTCATTCAGAAATAAATAAGTGGCTAAAAGAAGATGAGTTTACTCTGTGGGTACTATACCTGATTTTTGGTTCCGGTCAATGAGAGGGAGAGTGCTATCATCATATGAATGACTACTCTGGCTTCTAGAAGCATTGTTTAGATTCACCTGGAGGCAAACAAAATGCCAAGTCATAGAACAGAAAGTCTTTATTCTCCAGCCTGTCTCCACCCCACAAAGCAATCTGCCCCGCCCTACCTCCTCCAGAGGCTCTCCTTAAACATGGTTTCCTTCCCCAGCTTTCCATACCCCACCCCACACCCATAGGCCCCAGCCCCTAAGGCACATTTTATCCCACAAAAGATTTAATCCTCTACATTCCTACTTCCAACTCTTAAGAAAAGGTAATGCTTAAGGATTGAATAAATACTCAACATAGTGAAACAATAGGCTTCTATTTGTGTTCCTGAACAGGAAATTTTAAAAGTTCCAAATACTCATACTATCAGAAGGAAACAGTCTCAGAAAATGGTAAACTTGCTCAAAGGGTCAGGGGAGATTTGGAGAAGTCGCCAAGGTCATCATCACCCTTCATCACCACCAGCACTTACTTACTTACTGTTATGACACTGAGGGAGACCAGAGCTATTTCAGCAGCAAATGAGTTATAAGTACCATTCTTGAGAAGTAAAGCAAATAAGGTCTACTAATTAGAGACTTGGGTCAAAAAYAGACTTAGTGTGATGATGAAATAGAAGAAAAAAAAAAAAAAAACATTTTGGTCTTGAGAGTTACTATACCTGGAAGTCTGATTTCTTCCATCCTTCTTTTTCCAGGGGCTTCCTCAGTTCCTTATATCCCCAGATTGTCTGTAATACAAGTGCTGCTGCTCGAACTTCTTTTTCTGAGCGATTCCTTAAAGTAACACCATATTAAATTTGGATGTAAGACCAGGAAAGAAGCTTAGGACATATATTTTCTGGTAACAACGTAAGAATATAAATGCCAAAAAGGGTGAAATCAAATTTTCCAAAACCTATATTCTGTCCCAAAGAGTAAAATACAATATTGTCTGACATAAGTGTCTATTATCAATTTATGGATTTAAGACAGAAAAAGAATAATGTCTTTTCACGTTTCACATGTAAGGAAGAGGAATAATCTCAGAAAGCAAGAGGRGGACTAGGAATGTGGTTCAGTGAAAAGAATGTCTGACTGGCATGTACAAGACCCAGGGTTCAATCCCTAGCACTGCAAAAAAAAAAAAAGAAAAGCTCCTTCCTAGCAAACTCCCTTTCATACTTAAATTCTTCTAGCTGTGGTTTTAAGTGTAAGCTTACCCTGATTTGTTGATCAACACTAGCTTCTCAATACCCTGCGTCTCTCGAAGCTTTTTGGCAGCCTCTAAGTTTTCAGCAATAACTTCATTGATGGTGTTCAAAAGAGAGACCACAGTGTCCTCAGAAAAATTCCAAGAGGAGCTCTGTTGCCCTCCAGGCAGATTTTTTACCAAGTTAGGAATAGCATGTTTACCTAAAACAGCAGAAGGAAAAAAAGCAGGGAGAAAAGGCAGAGTTAGGCCATAAGGAGCCTTATACTACATTTTATATTGATCAGATCAAGTGGAGATACTGACCATATGAATTTGATTCACTATCCTATAGGATTATCATATCAAAAGGGCAAAGAACATGAAATAACATGAACTCATTGTCCTTCTTTCTCTCATTCTTCAATCACATTAAAACAATGTGAATATTGTACATCAAATATGTTACCCAGTCCTTTCAGATACTCTAATGAAAATAGAATGTCAATAYTGTAGTAACTTAACAGAAATGAAGGCATGATGAATTTAAAAGCTCAACAACTCAACAACCTAGGCTCTGCCACTAACTGGCTATATTAACTCTGAGAAAATTACTTAACTTCTATACCCTTAGTTTCCTTATCCTATTTAAAAAAAAAAAAAAAAAAACAGACCTCTATAAAGTGATGGGGATTAAATGAAAACACAGAAGTATTTAATAATGCCTAGTGACAATGGAGGTGCTCAATAAACAACAGCTATTAACATTCTATTTGTGAAGAGTCATCACTTCTTATCTAAGAACCATTAGACCATGTCCCCTCACCCGCCCTAAAATTTATAGACTATTGAGGGCTAGAATCTTTTCCTTAGATGATTTCAATAGATACATTACTAGCACCTATAGGCACTGTGCTAGATGCTGAGGCAACAGCTGGCATTCAACTCCTTACCGATTAACTCCTTATTGCGTGCATCCACAGCCAGATTTCTTAATGCTCCAGATGCAGCTTTCACCACCCGCTCATGTTCATTGGTCAGGAGGTCAGCTATGGCAGAGAGAGCCTTCTCTTGACGCAGAGCAGAGCGGATGTATCGACCATACTAGGCAGCACATGGAAGACAACAGATTATAAATAACAAACTAGCTATATAAATCTTCCCATTTCCAAATCCATTTTGTAAAACATACTCACCGTCCAGCGCCCAGCACACAAGTTCTGGATGGCTCCAGCAGAGGCTTCTAGGATAGCAGGAGTTTTACTCTCCTTAAGGAGTGAGATATATATCCGAACCACCTCTGGCTGAAATAAGAGCTCATAGCCTGTACAAGAAAGAGCAAGAAGGCAGAGGATACTAATCAATACCTACAAACCAGGCTCTGGTGGCAGGAATCCAGCCTTAGTACTCTAGGTAGATGTATTTACCATTACGCTCCCTGAATTCCCTTACTAGTCAACAGCCAACTTAGAGACTTGATTCTTTTCTTTACCCCCTCTTTGGGTACCAAGATTTGATTCTTAAGAGTAATTAGTCATGGTAAGAAGCAAAAGATATATCAACTCATCATGTTCAACTCCTTTCTCTCCTTACTCCTTGACTCTTCTCCCCCACAGCTTACTTTGGCCTTGGTTCTACCATGAGCTCTCAGAAAACTCATTTAGTTCATTGATAGCAATCAAGGTTTAAGATTTCTCATCTCAAATGAATTATTTCTAATTTAACCCAGTTATTTTTATATCCATGGAGAGCTGTAAACCTTATAGTCATCAATACAATGAGTCCAAAGATGCAAACTATGATAAACAGGAATCTTCTAAGAATAAAGTTTAAGCCTCCAAAACTGTAGTGACCACTTAGGGTAGCTAAGTTTCTGCTATAGCCTACCATCAGAACTTTATCCTATCCTTGAATAACCTGAAGCACTGTCTTAACAAAACAGGCCTTTGTGAATTACTTCTACAATACTATAGATTTTACCAAGATTTTCACTGTCACTTCAAATCCCCAAGTCAGAGAAGAGAGAACCGTACATATGTTGCATAAAGTCTACTATTAGGTTACCAAATACCCTATCTGTGGGCTATGATGATGAGATCTTTGGAGACTGAGAAGAAAAAAAATAACTTACCTCGAGCAGGACTTGTTCTTTTAGGGAAGTCCACTGTATCATTTGCTGGATCCTCTGTGGGTTTTTTCCCTGTAGAAATAGGAAAAGGGTATGGGGCAGGGAGAGAATAGGGGTAAAGAATTTTAAAAAGGAAAATTTCATCTGGCACATTTTTCATTCTTCAGTCAGAATCTTTGGATCAGAGATGCATCAAAAGGAGCAAAAGAAGGGAAGCCCGCCCAACTTGTCCCAGCAGGGTGCTATGCAGAAACAAGGACAGAAAACAGGCAGCAGATAGATAAAACAAGGATAACCACTCTTGTCACTATTGACCTGAGTTTTGATAAAAAGGACTGCTGCCCAGAAACAGCATGCCAGGATCCACGTGCTCAGAAGAGCTGAACTTGTTTCAATGGCTTTCCTCAACTCAATTTTCCTACATGCATCCACAGGGAAGGGTTAGGCAAGGAAATACTAGGGAAGCTAAAACCAAAACATGCAAATTAGAAGTTGTCAAGCTCCTTAAAAGATTCAACTCACCTCTGGAGAACCATTCATCTTCCAATGCGTCACCCAAGGTGTAAAGCAGAGGAGAGATAAAGGAAGAAAATGCAGGAGAAAGATGTCAACAAAAGCATGGTCAAATAAGCAAGAAAGCACAGAGAAGTAAAGAAAAACACAGGAAAAAGAAAGGAGGAATGGGAAAGAAGTCCCCAGATTAGTTGAGTTCTCAGTGCCTCAGTCATTCACAGCAATACCACCACCACCACCACCACCACCACCATCACTACCTCCACCACCACCACAATAAAAGCACACAGCTCAGGGAAAGCAGCGGCAGAGCAACAAGACAGTCTTGACCAGACAGATTCCCAGACTCTTTGCAAATATTCTGTACCTAAAGTTAAGTGTTCCTTCCTCTCCCTGTCCCACATTAAAGAGCAAAGAATGAGGAACTAAGACTCACCTTTGCCCTTCTTGGCCCCAAAGCAACTGGCAGCATGTGGCCCAGTATTGTTGGCAACACTGGGAGGTGCCTCTTGATAACGCTCTGCCTGTGGGATCTCCCGGTGAACCTGATAGGATAAGTTCCGAAGGAGGCACACGCAGTTTTCCACAAGCTTAGGGACACAAGATTTAATGAGAGAAGTAAATAACTATGGTGATTTTGCAGCAAGTTCCCATGATTGAGGTATTAAAATATCAACCCTCAAAATATAATACAATCCATCATTTCTCAGTATTCCAGTCTTCTCAAACTCCTTGAATTTAGTGGCTTTAGCCAACCCCAAAACTGGATCACTGACTTTCCTACTTGGAAAATGAATAATCTTAAAAGACCACTAGGCAACTTTCATATACATGTGAGGGAAAAAAAAATTCCTAAGTTGAACACTACTTCTTTAGGAAGAAGGTGCTGGGATAGGCATTTTATGTAATGGAAAGCAGGAGTGGGTAGGTTTGCACTACAAGTACTTTGTAGATGCAATGAATGGAATTAATTTACCTTGCTATCTGAATCCTTCTGCCCAATCTCAGCCTGAACAATGAAAATAAGGGCATCAACTAAGCCATCACATTCCCGAAGCTTCCGACGAGCTTCACTTCTCTCTGAGCTTACATTCCTGAAGGGAAACCAGAAAATACTTTAAATGACTCAAATTCAGAAATCCCCCCATTGACTATCCCACAACATCTATAAGCTTCCTCAATACCCTTTTTACTCACTATAGGAAGTAGTGAATATCTATTATAAGCAAGGCATAGCAGTTAAGAGAAAGTTCATTGACAGTCTCTGCTTTCTGAACCTTTATCACCATGTGGGGTATGGGTTAATAATTCAAGATAGAATAGATACTTCTTGAATGGAAGTACAAATATACCACAGAGCAGAGTGTCTGATTTGAAATATAGAAAACTAAGAGAAGAGATACAGACACACAAAGCCCAGAACTAGATGATTACCTACACATTGTAGGTTCTGAATAAGTGTTTACCAGGTTAGATGAACAGAGTCAAAGAGGCATAAAAGAGATGTTTAAGGGAAAACAAACAAACCAACAGCAGGTATATGTGGAATATAAGTGAGTAGCAATAAAGGTAAACAGTTGGAGTTGCAGTATACAATAAAAAGATAGTAGAGGCTGAATAGCAGGTGAAAGAATTTTAACTTTTGCCAAGCAGGTGGTGCACATCTGTAATTCCAGTTACCCARGAGACTGAGGCACAAGGATCACAAACTCGAGACCAGCCTCAGCAACTTAGTGAGACTCTGTCTCAAAATAAAATAGGCTGGGAATGTAGCTAAGTGGTAGAGCACCCCAGGGTTCAAACTCTAGTTTAAAAAAAAAAAAAAAAATCTTAACTTTTCTTTTTAAAGAAATTATATCAATCCTCAAAAATTCAATTTTATATTCTCAAAGCCCCTACTATTACCTAAGGCAGCCAGCTGTGTTGGTGAGCACCGACTCCCACTCAATATGGCGTGGCTTACAATCTTCATTAGGTTCCCTCTCCCAACCAGAATGAGGAATGATCACTTCATCTGTCAAGGCGTGCAGTGCATGGTCCACAATCTCCATTTTGATTGAGTCATGGGATGAGAGATTCCACAGGGTTCCTGGCAGAGACAATTCATAAGATAGCTCTCCAACACCCATGATCATATGTTTGAAGAATGTCAAGAGAATACCCTATTGCTCGACTTCTTGGTCTTCCTTAATGATCAAATATCTTGCATTGATATTCAAGCTTTTGTGTGTAACCCRTGGTAAGAAATAAATTTTTATTTTACAAACATACGGATCATGAAGTAAAGTTCCATAAAAATAGTACTGGCTATAACTAATGCTCACCGATCCACCTATACTGACCTCTTCTACCTCGACTCCTCTGTCATTTGGGGTCACATAATTCTTAGTTGTAGGAAGCTGTCCTGTCTACTGCTGGATGTTTACCACTCCTGGCCTTTACTCACTGGATGCCAATAGCACTCTCTACCCACACTGCAGTTAAAACAAGCAAAAATGTCTCCAACATTGCAAATGTCTTCAGAGAAGAGAGGGGAGAATTTCCTCCAACTAAGAACCAATGGTCTATACATTCTCCTTTTATTTATTTATTTATTTATTTTTGGATATGCAGGATTGAACCCAGGGGCACTCAACTACTAAGCAACATCCCCAGCCCTTTTTATTATAAGACAAGGTCTCACTAAACTGCTTAGGGACTCACTAAGTTGCTCAGGTTGGTCTTGAACTTGCAATCCTTCTGCCTCAGCCTCCTGAGTCACTGGAAATAGAGGCATGCATCACCACACTAGGCATTTTTTTTTCTTTTCTTTTGCTTGGAATGGTGATTGTGACCCACAAACTTGTGTTCAATTCAGACTATCAGATCACAGCTCAGAATCTGAAAAACCACTGTTCTAAATAAAGCAAGGATCACAGCTCAAATGTCTAGATGGGCCTAGCATGTGAGTCAAGACAGGCATACACTTAAATTACACAATTGGGGATAACTGGCAACTGACATTGAGCTTCCATGTTTGGAAGACAATCTTCTTTGTGACCGTAGTTGATTAGAGATAATCTATAATCAAAAGTTAAAGGACTGGAAACCCCTCTAACTCTCAACTTCTCTAGGGGTAAGAGTCACCCAAACTTAGCACTTCCTGGGGCCTAGAACTTACCAGTAATGACTTCAGTAAGATCCATATCACGAGCCTTTCGGAGCAATCGCACAAGGGCAGGAACACCATCACAATTTTTTATGGCAATCTTGTTATCTTGGTCACGTCCAAAAGAGATATTCTTGAGAGCTCCACATGCTCCAAGGTGCACTTCCTTTTTGGGGTGGTCTAATAATCCCACCAGCACTGGGATGCCCTTCAGCTTCCGCACATCAGTCTTCACCTTGTCATTGCGGTAGCATAAGTGTTGCAAGTATGCAGCTGCATTAGACTTGACAGCATCCAAGCGGAATCCCAGCATGGCGATAACCTCTGGCAGCTCAGGCTGTCTCCAATTGGGAGGTGGGGGGCCTCCCTTGCGAAGGCTATCCAAGCTTGCTAAACTTCCCCGCTCATGCTGGGCCAAAGGAGCCCAATAGTACTGATCTGCTGGTACCTCCTCGCCAATCATGTCTTCATAACTCCTGCAGATTTTTGGAAAAACCAACAGAAAAGAGAAATACATCAAGTAGTTAAGCCTAGCTTACTGGACACTCCTATAACCCCCCAACATTAAGGCAGGATTATCCCCCGCACTGATACACAGATCATATATCTCCTCTGCATTAATAATATGCTAATCAATTTTAATAATTTCAAAGGTACCTTCAATTAAATTAGAGCTACCCTTTTTTCATCAAGTTTGCTGGCTCAGAAAGTAATATTTGGAGAAGTTAATCACACACAAAAAAAGAGAACCAAATCTAGTTACTGAACATGTATTTGAATGATACCTGAAAATTATTAATTTCCAGATAGAGATTAAAATAAATCCTCAGACAGCATAGCTAACCAAACTAAATGACTCAGTGTCACAGAAATCATCAAATAAAGCCTGAGAACAGTTCTAACAAGCCCTTAGCTAAACAGGAAATGAGGCATTTACACATAGGGAACAGTTGGTAGAATAAGACCCTTAAGGGCTGGGGATGTGGCTCAAGCGGTAGCGTGCTCGGCTCAAGCGGTAGCATGCTCGCCTGGCATGCGTGCGACCCGGGTTCGATCCTCAGCACCACATACCAACAAAGATGTTGTGTTTACCGGAGAACTAAAAAATAAATATTAAAAATTCTCTCTCTCTCTCTCACTCTCTCTCCTCTCTCACTCTCTCTTTTAAAAAAAAAAAAAAAAAGACCCTTAAACATACTTCATATTTAAGGTTCTCCTTATCCTATTTTGGAAATTATTAAAGAGGGAGGGGCTGATAGAGAAAAATAGAAAAGAACTTCTTGCTACATCATATGAATACCTGTCTTTGGTACTGATAAGGTGTATGTCTTCAAACACTAATTCTCAGTTCATAGCAACATCAGACTTGCTAGTCAACAAATATGGGTTTATTACCAGGGATTGAACCTAGGGAGCACTTTATCACTGAACTACATCCCCAGTCCTTTTTTTGGGGAGACAGGATCTTTCTAAATTGTTAAGGCTGGCCTCAAGCTTTTGATCTTTCTGCCTCAGCCTCCCGAGTCACTAGGATTACAGGCATGTGCTATCATACCCAGCTCTCAGAAATATGTTTGAAATGAGTCCCATTCTCCAATTTCTAAATACCTCCAATTTTGTCAAAATCTACTGACCAACACTGTATTTAGGATGCCCCGCCACACGAAACACACAGCAATTGCAGGAAAGAAGTCAGTGGGAAGATAATTCTTCCTGTTTCAGTACTACCAGCAACCACTAGAGGGTGAGTTTGTCACACTATTATTTATTCATAACCACCAGGAAGAGACCATTATCTCTGAACTCATCTCATTCTGCGGCTCCCACAGGAGAGAGGAGAACCTATTGTGTGGAACTCTCACAAATAAGACCTTTGTTTGCTCCACAAAACCACTCCCACTGCCACCAAACACTCAAGGTTAGCTTAAGCTGAAGATCTGCCTCATGGTGTTAACAACAACCATTCAACAGTGATTCAAAGGCCCAAAGCATTTAGTTAAAAATAAATAAATAAATAAACAAACAAATAAATAAATAAATGCCATTTCAATATATCATTGAAACAAAATAAATTGGTTATATTAGCTAGAAGGCAACTAACCTGTACGTGAAGAAAGATTTCCTTTTAGTCCAGGGGTAAAAATACAGCATGTTCACAAATATAGGAAAAAGAACTCAAAGGCTATGCACCAAAATGTTAATTGTAGTTCTTTTTGAATGGATGGTGTGCTTTTCTAGGGTTTTCAGGCTCTGTGTTAAGCACCTTTTAATTTTCTTATTATTTTAAGATAAGCAATTATAAAGAACAATTACCATAACCAAATTTTAGTCACCTGAAGAAATCTTATATTTCCTTCTTTTACAGGCAAAGGATCAAGATTCTTTCACTTTACAAATAACAAAGCTGTGTCCAGAAAGATCAAATGGCTTGCTTGAAGCTACACGACTAGTGGCAGAGGTACAACTAGAACTGAGGTTTTTCAAGTTCAGAGCTTTTTTATGCTAATCAACTGCTTCACTGTTTAAGTTTGACCTTGTATTACTCTCCTAGGCCCAGAACAGGAAGCAGCAAATGATCTTGATAGTCAAGCAGGTTTCCAAGTCCAGTGCCATCCTGGAACAAACCCAAGAACCAGGCCCCAAACCTTCTCTATGTCAGCTGCTACAGGGATAGCACAAAATGGCCTAGCCACCCACACCCACCTGGGTCCAATCACTCTTTACTAATGAGGAAGTCAGAAAAGCAGACAACACCCTGGGCAGACTGCTGCTATCTACCCCTGCTCTAGGTTGCACCAGCTGAAGTCTGGTGCCCCTTCAGGAATAAAAGGTGAGTCACATGGGAGTTGGATTAGCTAAGACACCTGAAAGGTAAATGATTCAGGCTTAGATAATGGGGCCTCTACCCCTGTCCCCAACCCAGTTCAGTTCACTATTAACCAACGCTCCCTATACATGAAGAAAGTAAGCACCAAGGCATTTGGCTTTAGAAGGTCATGACCCATACACAGAAATTCAGTAACAGCTGCCAAAGCACCCTCACCATCAAGAAAACCTTAAATTTTTCCTTCTTTTCATGTCTCTTTGTYTGGAAAACACAGTCCCTAATTTATTCTGAAGCAAGATTTGCAGCCCACAGGCCAAACCTGTTTTCATACCACCCAAGAACTAAATATTTTTTATATTTTTAAAGGCTTGCTTTTTAAAACAAAAAACATCTAACAAAGATAACATAGAACCCACAAAGCCTAAAGTAGGTCCCCTGTAAAGGTCTGCCAATCCCACTCTAAAGCATTCTTGAGGCAACAAGGGAAAGTGTCTACTAAACATCAGTCTACTTTCATTTCACCCAAAATTCCCATGGAAAAGTCTGATCCCTAAAGGTTCTTAAAAGTAGAAAGAAAAGCCAGCTCTTTCCCCCATCTTGGAAAGACCCTTTCCTTTTACTCTTGCCTACCTGAGGCGGCGGCGAGGGTCGGAGGGTGTCCCAGTTCGACGGGCAGTGCCATAATCAGACATCATACCGTAATCAAGGTCATCATAGCCCATACTACGCTGGTCATCTTCTAACCCGTAAGGCTCTGGGTGAAAGCGGTGCAGATCCACACTGCTCCCTCCTACCCGAACCTGGGGCTGTGGCCCATAGACATCCTGTCTACTAGGTGCCCTGTAGCCTTCCATGCTGGGCCTATATCGTTCCTCAATGCGAGTCACCCGGGATAGACTGCCATAGTTGTCACTGCCACCTGGATAGCCATCTTCATAGTGGCGGCTATAACCATCAGGAGGGTAGTGGAAGTTCCTCGGAAGGGTAGCAGTGCCTGCTTGGCTCACATAAGGACCAGGTCCACCATTGCCATTCTTGCGGAAGTCACGACCCAAAGTCTGGATATAGTTGTTCGAAACTGATGAGGCATCCACAGGCAGCCCGTCTGGTCCCACAGGGACTGGCTGTACCGTCCGTGTTGTCACTGTCTTCACTACTTTCTTGACCTTCAATTAAGGAATGGGGGGAAAAAAACTACTGAGGGAAATAAGGGATACAAGCTTACTTCCAGACCACTCCAAGAAAAGAAGCAAACCCTAATCTCTAGGCCACTACACTAGAAATGCCTATACCATCTACCTTTCTTCCCATCCTATACATCTGAGCAAGAAAACTGCTCTGGCAATTACTGCTTCTCGGAGAAGCTCCTACAGACCTTGACATGCCCTCTCTCTTCCCAATCCATCAGATTTTCCCATATCACTTTTCCATGTGAAGAGAGATCACTTTCTTTTTGGCATAAGTACAGATTAGTGATCCTTCCTTCACCCTAATTAAGTGCTTAATCTCTCACCTAATACAAACTACAGAAAGACTTCTTCTATTTTCTATTAATGAGACCTTATGCAAATCTCAGCTTACTGTGGTCTCTGTGCGCCGGGTGGTCCCATCATCTGAGGTCTCCACAGAAACAACAGACATGGCTCCTTCAGGGTCCTCCTCTGTGTAAGTCTCCACAATCTGCCCTGGCTCTTGCATCCTGGGGATGGTGCTATATAGAAGATGACTGTGATCCTATATGGAAAAGAGGAAAAGAAAGAAAATACTATTAAACYATGTGTTATTAAGAACCCATCCTAGTTTTAAGAAGCAGAAGGGTGAGGACTATTCATCCATCTTTTATAGACCTCAAGATTTTTAAAGAGAGGTGACTGTTACCTTTCAAAGGTGTACAAAAGTAAATATAATTTTCCCATTCTAGTCATTTAACTAATATGTACCAAGCTAAACAGCTGATAGCCATATTGACACCAAGTGACAAAGGTAGCAGATTTAACTTCCCAATTCTGGTCATCTATGGTTATCTAAATGAATATGAACTATGTTAATGGGCCATATATACATCTGAGTGATCTCTCAAAACGGGCTTATCCAATAAATACAGAACRTTTTTTATTAGGAGGGATTGATCCCGGGGCGCTTAACCACTGAGCAACACTCYCAGCCCTTTATTAAGAATTTTATTTAGAGACAGGGTCCCACTCAGTTGCTTAGTCCCTAAATTGCTAAGGCTGGCTTTGATCCTCCTGCCTCAGCCTTCAGAGTCAACTGGGATTATAGGCGTGCACCACCACGCCCACTCCCCATCCCCCCCAAAACAAATAACTTTTAGGATAAAACAGAAAATCCCTAGAAGACCAATCATTTGACTGACTTTGTATTACTCTAAGGTAAGCCAGAAGGCTTCTAAGACCAACCAGATTTTAGGTAGGATTTTCTGCAAAGTAGAATTATGCCCTCCCTAAAATAGGAATGTAGTACCTGGGATCACATAAGAGGGACAGGGAGGTAGTAATAAAGATCAATAGCCATTAATATTCATTTCAAAACAAAGCTACATATATACTTTGTAGCGCCACCTTTTTACTTTCCTAAATGAAAGAAACTAATTGATGGGTGTTTACAATGTGCCAGACACTTTATGAATTACCATGATGCTCTTATAAGCTGAAGAAGTAAAATGATATGAATTAAACAACCCAGCCTTGAGCCAAAAGAATTACCTGGGGTCCGTTGAGTTTCAAATCTGAAAACTTCTGTCTCTCAAGGTCAGCATCGCCCACAAACCGGCCGTTCTGAAACATAGCCCATGAAAAGACAATTCATTTTGTGGCCTTCCTTTACTCTATCAAACATAAATGTCTTTTTCCCAAACAGGAAAAGGGCTTTCAAGAAGATGTTTGTGGCCTGAAATCCTTGTGTCAGTACTCATAAAATAACCATATTACTTCTTAGCTTAGAACTTTCCTCAAAGTTGGAATCAGGCCTGCAACTCTGGCAGACTGGGTCTTTGGTACATAAAAACCTAAGCTCCATGAGGGCAGAGGGGTTTGGGGGTCAGTTTTATTTAAGGTAGCATCCCTAGTGCCTTACGCAGTGCCTGATACATTATAAGCGTTCAAAAACTATTTGCTGAAATAAAGAATGTTTTGGAAAAGTTTCCCTACATGCAACCTTTTTTAAAATCCCTGAGAATATAAGGAAAATTGAAAAGGCTAATTTAGGGGATTTCCAAAAGTCTTCGTTATTGTTCCCTTCATGCTCTGCTACCATTGGAAACTCCCATTCCATACAGCTTTTTAAAGAAAGATGTAAGTCTCCCTTTCCAAGTATGAAGAATATAGGTACCCCAATTCCCCTCCAAGAATACTAAATTCTCAACATCTTTATCATCAATTATTCCAACTACAGAACACATTCCAAAATGTCAATCTTAAATTGTTCTGTCTTAAATAGCAGGAAATAATCTAATGACATTATACCACATAGAAATACATATTTCCCTGCTCCTCTTTCAATAGAGAACACAGTGAGATCCAGCCACCTTAGGAAACTCTTCTCCCACCCAACTCCCCTTTACATGAAGAGTATAATGCTGAGGGAGAGGAAGTTAAACATTACTTTCAGGAAGAAGGAAAGGTGTGGTTTCATTGCTGAGCAGAAGTTAAAAATAAGAGAGCAAGAGAAAGAAACCACATACTAAATCCTGGAATTCCCCACCACCTCCAAGCCCGAGTCGTCTTTTCAATATATATATCTCATCCCTAGCCCTCTACTCTGGCTCCTAGAAAAAATTAGAAACATTGCAAATATACAGCCTCCTTCAAATTCCTGATTATCCCCAACTGGAATTCTGTCCTCTAGCTCAATCTGCAAGGTTCCTCAATAGGTGGGACCTTTTCTATCTTAAAAATTAAATAATCAGTAAAAAGGACTGTCAAGGCATGAGCACTATTTTGGTTTCCATCCAGAGATGCAGTCTATCAAGCAATGCCCTCCGCCCTCCCCACACACACACACACCCTCAGACAGATTACGTCACAGCAAAGTCAGACTAGATAAACCAAAGGAAACACAAGATACTTCTCACTTCTAACACCAACTCTCCAAAGTCACATCAGAAAGTCAGCCAACGAGAGACCACTGGCTCCTGTGGTTATTTGGGTTAAACAGCAGAATGAAGCTCCCTCTCCAATTCTAACCAATAGAATTAACAATAACCCCTTCCTCCAAGACATGATTTATACAGCCAACAAAAAAGAAGCCACAAAGGCAATATGGAACAGGAATATACAATTTATGGATACAGTCACACCTTCTGAGAACAGAGTGTTCCCTGAAAGGACTGAATGAAGCTGGGAGTACAAGATGCCCAACTTCCCCAACCAATAAGTGCCCATTTACTTTCTTGAATTTTTGATGCCAAGAAAAAAATAATCAGAGAAAACAAGTAATTTGACTATAGCCCCAAACTATACTATCTGCCACGGCATCCCAACCCAGAAAACCCACTCCAACAAAACAAGAAGTCAGATGATGCTTCTAGAGATAAGTCCACCCAACTCAGCACAGCAGCAATATTTCTTATTTCTTAATCAGTATTTAACACCTCTGGAAAAGTTCAAAATGAAGCATGGGCATTGGATAGCCCATCACCGAGGGTAAAGTAGCTTCCCAATAAGGATTTTACCCTCTCCATGACCATGCCAAAGTCCTACCTGCTGGTCTAATGGAGAGAGGGGTTACCTGATGCCGGCGTGTGAGGGTGCCGTTGGCCATGAGTGGGTTGGCATCCTGTGGTGAGACCCGGACGCGTTCCAGTTGCGCCGAGACGTGGCGCCGTTCCTCCTCCAGCGCCCGGGTCAGCTTCTCAAACTGGGCCTCTTGTTCCTTCACAGAGGCCAAGATGCTGGCGGTCGACTCCACCTCTGAGTCGTCCATGAAGGTAAGGGGCAGAGCCGTGGCASGGCAGGGTAAAAAGGAAGGTGGATCACAGAGGGAGGAGGAAGGAGGGAGAAGGCCCCCCTCACTTCACACTATCGGGAAAGGATAAGAGAGAGGAGAGAAAAGATCACAGGTCAGAGAAGACAGATGAATTATTAATCCCAGAGCCAAAGATGCCCTCTCGTGGTTTTACTACAATGCAGAAAGCAAGCCACCACCAAGCCCGGGGCCCATCACCAGTGTCTACTCAAGCAGAGTCCTTTGCCCACTACCCTCCTCAACAGCCCACCAAAAGTACCTACTGAAAGGAAAGTGGTGACTAGATCTATCAGTAGGAGAAGGAGAATGTGACTAAATGTGGTAATCATGGCATGAGATTAAAATTAGATTCTTTTTCCCTGGAAAAATTTGCTAGTATCAATTTAATGAAAGTTTTAACTGCATGGTACAGACAAGCACTCACTGTCCTTCAGAGCCAAGCCACTTCTAAAACAAGGCAGTACAGATTTTACTTAACCTCTCTCAAATCTGTTACTGATACTGCTATAGTAGGGGCAAAATATACTAAATTAATATGCTAAATTAAAATCCCAACTAAGAAATGTAAATTGGAAAAAAAAATACCTCCCTCTCATCAAAGGTGGAAAGACAATTTAAGTCCTCCATGTTTGGTACATTTATGGATGGGTCTTTCTAGCTTCCAAACTATACTACAATATTGAGGGCAAAATGTGCCTTAACTGAGACGAGACAGTAATGGAAGCACAAAACATAATCTTTGGGGGGTGGGGGGACACTATTTCCTAGGACTTTTACCTCTTTGGGGAATAGGAAAAGGAGCARTAGGCTCAAACTCTTAAAAAGTACACCTTGAAGTAGTTCATATTCTAACTCCTAGATGTCAAAGGCTAGAACTTCCTATGACTCTATAATCTTACAGAAAGCTCTAAACAGATTATCTTTTTACCACTTGTTCCAACTCGGAACAAATACCCAAATATCTAGATGGTTTCTGTGTGCTGTTTATACAATAAGTGATAATATATCCTTATTATATAATAGCAAGTTGGCCAATAAATCAAGAAGCATTGTAGTCATACTGCTGTACCTAGTTGATTGTCACTATGGGTGACCTTATGGCCAGTCCAAAAGGCAGGTTGGAGGTAATCTCCCCTACTCTCCATTCTCTCATCAACCCCCTACCCCCGTGGAAAAAAGCCACTTAAAAATATTTATTTATTCTTAATAAATGTGATTTTAATACACACCTGTTAAGAGAAGGATCGTAATTGTTTTAACACAGAGAACAGCCCAGTCTAGATTCAAAAAAATCATGGAAGAAGCATCCCAGCCACCACAGCAAGGAGGAAGCAGGATGGAGAGAGCTGCAGAAATATTTGAAAGAAAAATGGAAATGAGAGGAAAATAAAATATGCCCAATGCATAAATACAAGAGAATCAAGGGGAAGTTTGAGGAATGAAAGRCATTAATTTAAAATATGATTTGGATGGGGAGGTTGAGGCAAGAAGATCCAAAGTTCAAGGACAGCCTCAACAACTTAGAGAGGTCCTAAGCAACTTAGCAAGACTTTGTCTCAAAAAAGAAAAAGGAAAGGGCTGGGGATATTGCTCAGTGGTTAAACACCCCTGGGCTCAATACCAAAAAATAAATATATACATTGTGTATGTGTGTGTGTTTGTGTGTGTGTGTGTGTGTGTGTGTGTGTACTGAATGAATGAACTGTAATTGCTTAATGTGACCAATGCCCTTTAGACTTTGCTGTGTTCAGATATCTGGGCTTTGAATGTAGTTTTCATTAAAATATGGAGTCTATTGTCCTATCAAGAGTTCCTCTATTTGCACCTCTATACAGAATCAAGAACTGTTTATAAGATGGATAAAAACCCATTTATCCCTTGTTCCCAGCAATCAAATTGGGGGAAAAATTCCTGTTGGAATGCCCTTCCCCCTTCTTTTCACCCCTAAGGCAGAAACCTCAAAGCCCAGTTCCAGCATGCCCACAAAGACATTGAGAAACCAATGCAATAGTAGCAGTGGGGAAGACAAGTGGAGACTAGCCTAGACTGAATCTTTTGCTTAGGTTCTGTTTCCCACGCTCCCCAGAGCCCCACCAAGCACAAAGGATTGGGCCTACTTGCCTTAGAGTGTATGCAGCATTCAGCAAGCAAGAGTCCCCAGAGAAAAATGATAAATAGGTGCCCAAAACTCTTGAATTAATTCATTCCCTAAATCAGAAAGAATACTGCCCCCCCACCCAGATATGAACTCCCACAACCACTTATCAACTCCTGTTCTTCCTTTGAGTCCAAAGCCCATTGCCACTTCCTCACATTCCCACCCTACATTTTAACAGGCCACTCAAAGGTCTTTCTTATAATAAGTATCCTTATCATTAAAAACTGTTCCCTTTCCATCTCTATTTCTTCATTTTAAACACTTGCCCTTATCCGCTATGTACAATGACCTATGAACTTCCACACCAAGAAGACTCCACTTAAGAGAGATTCTTCCAGTTACTGAGCTTGAACGGCGCCTGCAGTGCAGTTACCACTCTGGCAACCTCTGCCCTGTAATCTTCCTTGCCAATAAAAGCCCAAACAACCACTACATGGGGCATACAGAGACAACACTCCCTGCTGCAGAAATTGTTTGTTATCCTGCCATAAATGGCTACTTTTTGCCCCCACAACTTAAACTCAGAAAAAGGGAGTTAGGAAGATAGGAATAAGGTAGGTCAGAAAGCAGTGTCTGGATAAACATTAGCTTCTCCCATCTTCATAATTTTAAAGCTGACCAAATTGAAGAGGACAGTACAGCTGGTAGGAAGAGGTCAGATTCCTAGGTCTAAAAGCAGAAAATTTTTCTATTTGAAGAGGGCAGAAGCAAAGGCTATGTTGGACAGAATACAACTCAGAAGACCAGTCCCAGTCCTCACTCTGCCACTCGCCAACAATGGCAGTTAAGTCCCTGCCACATACTCATCTGTACAATGCCAGTTATCACCAGCCCAATGTAACTCAAGAGTTGCTATGCAGATTCGGTGAGATAACTGTTATACAAATGTGATGTACTAAGTTGTTTCAAGAGTTAGTTTCTGTCTTCCAATTACATTACTTCATGCTACTATCTCAGCTCCAAACTATTTTGTGAAGTAGTAGATTAAATTAACAATTAAGATCATAGCTGAGGCTAGGTGCAGTGACCTACATCAGTAATCCCACTGGCTCAGGAGGCTGAGGCAGGAGGGCTGCAAGTTCAAGAGCAGCCTCTGCAACTTTGTGAGACACTGTCTCAATTAAAAAATGAAAAGGGCCAGGAAGGTAGCTCAATAGTAAAGCACCTCTGGTTCAATCTCTAGTACCCAAACAATGGATTACCCTACTCAATTTTAGAGGTCTCACCTAGACCAGTGTTTCTGGGACAGAGGGCACTTCTCTAGTGCCTGGCACTCATTACAGCATTACAAATCTGTTAATACCAAGTTTTTTATTCTCTATTCAAGGCCTTACCAGTATTATTACGAAGGAAAAAAGGGAATGTGAAAAGAACTAACAATTGCTGAATGCTTCACACTTATTATCCTGGCAATCCTAATAGTAACCACAAGGAACTAAGTTTGATTGCAAATTAGAAAACAGACTCAGGTGAAGAAATTGCCCAAGTCCCCATAGTTAATAGCAAATTTTGAATTTAAACCCAGGTCTCTGCCATTCCCAAGCCTACATTCTCTTTCTACACCACGCTGCCAAGTCCAAAAAGATATGCAGTATAAGATACATGAGCGAGGGCTGGGGTTGTGGCTCAGTGGTAGAGTGCTTGCCTAACATGTGTAAGGCCCTGGGTTCAATCTTCAGCACCACATGAATAAAAAATAAAATAAAAGGTATTGTGTCCAACTATAACTAAAAAATAAATATTAAAAAAAAAGATACATGAGCAAGCCTCTATGCCCTACAACTACTGAGAGCTTTCTTCCTAACTATCAGAAAAATAGGGGGAAAGAAGATGTTTCCATTTTTCTTTAGAATAAAGATTATTCCTTTTCTACATTAGAGAGGGGAAAAAATGAGGAAAAAGAAACGAGTGGGGACAAAGAATAATGACATTGAGCAAGCTACAGAAGACCAGTCTTGCAACTCAGAAATTTGATGACGTTTCTTCTACAAGCCATACACATCATAAAAAGATAATGCTACAAACCAGAGCTGCAAACCATTAACTGACTTTGGCTGGTCCAACACCTTTCTAGTTTTGCCACTCAATGTTTCCAAAGCGTTCACTTTAAAAAAAAAAAAAAAAAATCAAGGATTCCTGATGTGAGAAGGGTGGCACATAAAATGAAACTTGTTTTTCTCCTAAGATTAATATTTCCTAAGAATAGTCAGCCAGCTTTATGATTAACAAGTTTTAGATCCTATATTACTGGATCCCATCCACATTAGAAGGCCTACCTGTTATTACCCAGAATCTACAGCAAGATTCCCTCATTCAAGCAGTGACAATGATAAAAGTTCACTCTCTGCTGTCAGAACTCCAAACCAAAACAAGTTAAATTGAATCGGTGCCCAGAAGGCCAAACAATTAGACAATACCAAACAAATAATAGGGCAAAAACCAGTCATCAATAGCACAGTCCCTGAAATGATTTGTTCTATTGTAAACCAGCTATAGAAATATAATTTAGAAATATAATTTAGAATTATGATTCTTAAAGGTTAAGAATATAGGTTTTGAAATCTGACTGGGTTCAAGTCACAAACCTAACACTTATATAATATCAGACCAGTACCACCTATTTTTAACCTCAGCTTTCCTGTCAATGGAGAAGTAAAAATACATAGGAYAACTGTGAGGATTAAATGAGATGATTCATGTAAGTTCATAGGAAAAGGTCTTAACACATAGAAAGTTATTAATGTTACTACTACAAATACTTCTATAAAACACAAAGGACTAGAATTTTGGTGGTGTTGCAGAGTTTCTGAGTAAATCACACATCTCGATATGCACTTCTCATTCTATAGGAATTCTTCACACTCTCAATGGGAAAAACAAAATAACACTCCAGACTAGGAGTCAAAAGACCCAGGGCCTAACTACTGGCTCTGCCAAAAACATGCTAGGCAATCTTGAAGAAGGTATAGCCCCTGAAAGCTTCAATTTTTATTACTTAAGTCAGTCAGGGTGGCACACATCTAACCTCAGCTACACAGGAAGCTGAGGCAGGAAAACACAAGTGCAAGGCCAGCCTCAGCAATTTATCAGGGCCCTAAGAACTTAGTGAGACCCTGTCTCAAAATAAAAAATAGAAAGGGCTGGGATGTAACTGAGCTAATTTATTTCCCTTCCCACCATGCAGTTCACATAAGTACATCCAATGATGTGACCAGATTTAGACAAACAAGCCTTTACTGGAAGAGAAAGAAGAATTTGTCTTAAGATGAAGAACTCTAAACTTCTTTTGAGTTCTTGGGACAGAAATTTTATTCTCTGTAGCCAATCCYAAAGGTAGTTCTCCTCCTTTCTTCTTATTTATGCATTATAAAATCAAACCAATGCCATAAATTTATGCTTTTCCTCTAAATGCAACGATAAGTAAAATTTCACTTCCACTGTCTTCTAGGCATATAAAGTAGTTTTTTAAACAAAATGCACTGAATCTCCTTCTAAAGACTACCAATCAAGGCCAGATGCAGTGGTGCATACCTGTAATCCCAGTAGCTCAGGAGGTGGAAGCAGGAGGATCGAGTTCAAAGTCAGCCTCAGCAATTTAGTGAGGCACCAAGCAACTGAGACCCTGTCTCTAATAAAATACAAAGCAGGGCTAGGGAGGTGGCTCAGTGGTGGAGTGTCAGAGTTCAATCCCCAGTACCCCCCCC